TGTATGTGTGCGCATGTTGGGTCAGAAATTCCAGCCCTGCAAAAGCAATTCAGTCACTCCGTGGAGGGCACCTCTTTAGAGGAAATGTGCCTTTGGCCTCAGGTGGCCTCGTGCTCTGAAGAGGCTAGGTGGCTCTGCTTTCCAGATGCCCCAGTATGCCCAGAGGAGAGCCAGACACTGTACGGAGTGACCTCCCTCTTTGATTCTAGGAGGAGATTTCTCAGGCAAAACGATCCCCCTCATCACCCCAGGGGGCACCCAGGAAGCGATCAGCCTTTGGCGATATCACCAACGTAAGAATGGGTTCTTGTGTGTTGTCCGCAGGCTGCTGGCCATGCGGTTGTCCCTTGCCAGCTGTGAAGGCAGCTGCTTTTGCTGCCTTTGATCACTCAGCAGTTCTGAGATGTGAATTCCAAGCAAGCACCCACTTGGTCTGGGGCAGTGCTCAGCAGCTTCTCTGGGTCTCCCCTTACAGGCTCACAAGGCCCAGGGCTTTGCGGGGAGGAAGGAGCCCGAGAAGATGATTCCCAAAAAGGCCTCCAAGGGATCCACTGTGCTTAATATGGCCAAGAAGAATGAGATCAACCTGAAGAAGTGAGGGCTGTGGTGCTGCCTCCCCTGCCCATGTGACTTTCCGGAGTGGGCCAGTGTCCCCATGGCATCCTTCGGTTTCTGGTGGCTTCAAGGTGCATTTGTGCAAGGAGGGCAACATCAGTGCCCTCTTTAAACAAGAGCCGTGCTGGCACAGCTGCAAGTTCCGTTCTCAGTCTGAACGCAGCCCCAAAGTTCTCACCTTGAACTTTGGTAAAGCTCGATTTGACTGTGCCAGGGTGTCGTTAACTTGAAGCGGGGAGGCCAGGGATCCTCAGGAGCCAATTCCTACCAATCTGGAGATTGTCTCCAGCCTGCCCCAATTTCTAACCCCAGCTGGCCTCTTACAGGTCCTTGGACAAAGCACCCCCTGAGGAAAGTCCGGCTAAGCTGAGCCATGTGGTCAATGGTGGCCTCGGAGAGGAGCAGGTTGACCCACTGGTAGTGGTGGTGGCACCAGCAGGCCTGGTAGGAAAGCAGTGCATTTGTGTTTCCCTCTGGCAGGGCCTGCCTCTGGGGCACATGGCTCCCTTGTGGGCCAGCAGTCCTGGCACCTTGGACATGGGGCTCAGGGCATCATTTCTGGGAGGCCTTGGGGCTATATTGACAGCCTGAGACTCGATCTTTGCCTTGTGGCTGACCCTGAAAATGGGGGGTGGGGGGTGGGCGCTTGTGGAAAGCAGGGTATTACAGGCTGTACGCCAAGGGCTCCCCCCCACACTTTAGGGCCCAGGTGGCTCCTGCCCTCCGTCCCCCCCACCCCCTAAGCAGGGCAATATTTTAAAAAGTCTCTCTTCTTCAGGTGGCTCCAGTTGAGGACATTGACAAGGGGCAGCTGGACGACCCCTATGCCAATGCCGAGTATGCCAAGGACATCTTCGAGTACATGCAGGAGCGAGAGGTGCCTGCCGATGCCCGGGGGAGGGTTGCCCTTCCTCCGCCACTCCAGAGTCTGGATTCGGTTCCACTGGGCTGTCCGGAGAAGAGGGCGGAGCAGGGGGGGTTGACATGAAAGCCCACTGTGGCCTCCCACCTTCTTGAGCAGAGGCACTCCTGGGGCTGCTTCCTGGGGGATTTCCCCTCCTGATTGGGGAGCCTCCCTCAGCAACACTGTCCTTTTTCAGAAGAGTTTCCTGCTCCCAGATTACATGAAGAGCCAGCCTGACATCACCATGGACATGCGGGCCATCCTGGTGGACTGGATGGTGGAGGTGCAGGTGAGGGTGGGCGAGAGCCTTGGTGGGAGGGAGTTCCTATAGGAGGAGGGCTGGGTGGGGGTGGGTTTGTGTGGTTGTGACTCGGCGGGAGTCACTTCCAGCCTCCTTGAGCTGCTTCTGTGGTGAACGAGGGTCTCCTGCTGTGTCTTGAAAGGGGGTTCTGGGCCTTGAGAGGGAGGAGACGTTTGGTCATCAAAGTTGCCTTCCAGCCGGTAGGCTGGACTCAACACCCCTTTGTACCTGCAGGAGAACTTTGAGCTCACCCACGAGACCCTCTATTTGGCGGTCAAGCTGATGGACCACTACCTGGTTCAGGTGGGGGCCATGAGGGACAAGCTGCAGTTGATTGGCTCCACCGCCATCCTCATTGCTTCCAAGTTTGAGGTGAGCCCCCATAGCAGTGGGTCAGGAGAAGCATTGTCCTTGCTTGGTGACCTTGAATGGTGGAGAGGTGTTTGCTTCCATGTTACTCGAGAAGCCCAGTGTGGAGAGGATACCTTTCCAAGCTTCCAGAGCAGATTGTCCAAGGAGGTCTGAAGCCCCCTGAGTCTGCTCCAGTCACCCCAGACCTGCCTGCCTGAACTGGGTACCTGCTTCGGTGCTACCACATCCTAGATATTTACTTTGGGCCTTTGTTCTTTGCTGCAACCGTTACTTTTCAATGCCTCTTAAAATGATGGAGGGAATGCTCTGAAGGTGAATATGGTGTGTGTGTGTGTTTCGGTATGTTTAATGGTGTTTTCTGGACATTAGTTTAGTGGGTCCTGACTACAGAGCATTTGAAAGCACCGCCTAGTGCGTTGTCCTCCTGGGCGCAATCTCCAGGCACTCCCGACCCCAAATCCCCCCCCCCCAAAAAAAATCAGCCAGGAAGGAATTAAATGGGCTGGGCCAGTGCCAGGGGTTTCCTCCCGGGGAAGGTGGCAAACCCTTTTGAAAAGACCAAACAATCCCCTTCCTGGGCAGCTCTCGATCTTCTGCTAGAGCTTCCTCTCTGCAGGAGCGCTGCCCCCCCTGCGTGGATGACTTCCTGTACATCTGCGATGATGCCTACCAGCGGGAGGAGCTGCTGGCCATGGAGATGAGCATTCTGCAGACCCTCCACTTTGACGTCAACATCCCCATTGCCTATCGCTTCCTACGGCGGTTTGCCAAGGTCAGTAGGGGATGATGGGCCTGGGAGGCCGAAGCAGAAAAAGGGATCTGCTTGTGGGCATCTGCCCACGCCTGCTGGGCAGAGAAAAATGGACAGAGGGGCACCAGGTGCTTCTTGGGGGGGGGGCCTCCTTGCCTTTCTCACAGATCTGTTCCTTCCAGTGTGCCCGGGCTACAATGGAGACCCTGACCTTGGCCCGTTTCCTCTGTGAGCTGACCCTGCAGGACTACACCTTTGTGCAGGAGGGGGCTTCCCGCCTGGCTGCCAGCTGCCTCCTGCTGGCCCTCAAGATGAAGAACCTCGGTGGATGGGTGAGGATCGCCCTCCCCCCATGGGTGTCATGTCACCAAAGGAGAGATGTGTGCAGGGAGGAGGAAACAGGCAGAGCCATGCCCAGCAGAAGGGAAGGGAGCTGCTTTTGCTTTATGGCTCTGATGGTGGCAGAGAGGGCAGGTGACTCCTGGGGGAGGCGGAGGAAGCAGAAAGAAATAAGGATTAGGGCCCAAACTGGGCAAGTGAGAAAGGGGAGCCATGTCTGGGGCTGGTTCCCCTCCTGTGCCTGCCAGATGCCCCTCCCCCCAGTTCAACTCTTCCCTTATGTCTTGGCAGAGCCCAACGTTGGAGTATTACAGTGGCTACCAAGTGCTGGACCTTCTCCCTCTGGTCAGAAGGCTCAACTACCTGCTGATTTGCGGCCAGGATGACCGGCTCAGGGCCGTGCGCAACAAATATTCCCATCGGTGAGTGCTTCCTCTGGGCCCTCCCTCTTCTGATAGTGGGGCAGGGGAAGAGAGGTTCTGCCTCCCAGTTCAGAAGGGCTAGATTTGGGGGAAGGTGTCAGCATCTGATAAGCAATCTATCCGCCCAACCCTGAGCTGCAGTTGGGTCTTCCTGGGAAGGTGGAGCTGGTCTTCTGCCTCAACCTGTCTTTTACAACTGGGTGAAGCCAACAAGGCTGAATGGGGAGGGGGGAGCATTTGGCCTCTCCTTTTCTCCTGGGGGCCTTGACCTCCTGCCCTCCGCTCTGTCTGCTGATGCCCTCTGGCCTCTGCTTACAGGGTCTTCTTCGAGGTGGCCAAGACGGAGCCAGTGAGCATGCAGGCGCTGGAGGGCGCTTTGTGGAGCTAGCCCCGGGGCCAGGATTTGCCCTGCCTGGATGCTGCAGCCAACCTACCCTGTAAATAGATGTTCAGCCTTTGAAGCCTGTAAATAATTGTTTTTTAATGATGAAGGAAAAAAAGGAAAACTGTTGTGGGGAGAGAATTGTGTGAAGAAAATAACAAGCTTTCAATAAAAGAATGTGAGCGCAACTGTCTGCCTTCAGTGGGCACCCCAAGAGCCCCTCCCTTTGCTGGGCAAGGCCTGCATGTTACTGGCCTGGCTCGGATGGAGGGTCTTGGCCTGAGGGCGCAAGTAGACGCCAGCCCCAGAGTATTTCAGCTGCCCAGGGGGGCATTCCCTACCTCTGTGTTCACACACATAGGCACACCCAGGGAATGTGGAAGAGAAGACAACATTATTCCAAGATCAAATCCAAGTTGAGATTTATTTTGTCACCATGATGTCTGACATTTGAGACCACAGTCCAGGGTCTTTTCCCCAATTTAAAGACCAGCATTTCACATTGACTTATTTTTCCAATTTCCATCCTGTATACTCAGGCAAACTGACTGCCCACTCGACTGCCTCACAGTGGCTCCAGTCTCTCCCTCCCTATCAGGCTATAGGGAAGAGCAGCCAAAATGCACGGAGGGGGTTAAATGGACATCTGAAAGCAGCCCCCCCCCTTTGCTAGGCTGCACTGGGTAACTCCCAGGTGATGCAGTAGCCAAAGGATGTGCGGCTGGAGGGGGGAGGCGCAGTTGTCCCATTGCCCCATCTTTATTGGGGTGGAGATTCTACCAGGTGGTGACTTAAGGCTTTCTTCTGCTCCTGACTTTGTGGGCAGCTGCCCATCATTCTGGGCCTCTAGGCAACTGCAGTCAAATCCCCCATGGTGGCGTCTCTTCCCATCTGCTTGGCAAATCGCAAACCTGCTGCTTTCCTCGGGCGTTCCTCCTTTCCGTGCCTGTGAGCTGAAGAGACCAGCTGCTTTGCACCAAGAACCAAGTTGGTTGGTTCATTTGCAGCAGAAAGGGGTATGCCAACGTCTTCACTCCTTGCACTTTCAGTACAAATCGCTGTTGCATATGGAGACACAATCACAACCAGCTCCCAGCAGAGGGGCCCTGCCCAACTGTGCCAACATACCTAACATGGGGAAAACCTGGCCCCACTGGTTCACTTGGCACGGCAAAAGCAATCTCTCCCTGCAACTGCCCTCCAGGGCCAACAGTGGGTCTGCCAACACTTAGCTGGAAACCAGGCTGGGAGGTCCAAGGTATGTTGGCTGCTGTCTCAGCCAAGCCAGCCACATGCCCAAGTGCCAGTGGGGTCCTCCAGTGGAGACAAGGCAGCCCTCCCAGCAGCTCTGTCTAAGGAGCTGGTCAAACACTGCAGGGGGGTGTCTCCACTGCCCTGGGGCAATCAGCTGGTGCATGGCTTCTCTGACGCAGCCCAGCCAAGCATAGTTAAAAGCCCCTCCACACTGGAGTGGCCCAAAGTGGCTGAGAGGCTCTTCCAGAAAGCTCCAGGCCCTACAGACAGATTCCAAAGTGCATTTGCGCAACATAGGTGAAAAATAAATTATGGTATATATTACTCTTTAAATAAATATCTTTCCAAGGTATGTACATTTTTAACACTTTCCAACACTCTAGATCAATGTGCCAAAGATGCAGAGGGAGAACAAGAGTTGGAGAGAGGGGTGCAAGAGCAGACTAAGCTGGCCTCACGGGGCCCAGTCTGCTGTGCGTGTGGGAGGCGCAGCACCGACTGCAGCCTTCAAAGGGCTTCCTGCTTTCCCAGGGTTCCCTATCAGTAACGTGAGGGGTGTCTCATTTGAGTATCTGCCTCACAAGGAATGCTTTAGAAAGTTTAGTGACTTTGGACCAGGAAGGAAAACTGGATCTGGAATTATCCATCTGCTGAACTGCAGCATGGATGCCACCAGGGAGGCTTCAGGGATCAGTGAGAAAAAGTTTTATTTAAAGCAACTGCAAGGAGCTCTGTGGCCATCCAAAAAAGGAGGGCAGACACCAGAGGGGGCCACTGCCAGAAGTGTGGGGGAAAGGACCAGTTGGGCAGAGGCCTTTTGCTCCTGCTCAAGGGCACCGTTGCTACCGTGGACGAACTGAAAAAGCAGAATTGCTTGGGCGACTATTGCTAGTTAAGAAGGCTTCCTTTGCCCAACTCTGAAACTGGCATGTCAAGAAGAGGGCGTTGGAGGCACCCCAGATAGCACTTCAGCCTCCCCGGCCCTGGCACAAAACCAAGTGCGGCACATCCACTGGGTGTGACGTGATAGAAGAGAATCGCTTAAGACCGCCCTCCCCCTGGATTCTGGGGAACAATGGCATGCGTGGAAAGAAGCACAGTTCAAGCTTAGGAAGGTGACCACAGTAGCTGCCACATGGAGGGGCTGGGAGACATGAAGGCCAGGAAGGGCGAGCACAGCCAGGCCACCATCTTTGGCAAATGTGGAAATGTAAACTCCAGTGGTCCTCACAAGAAGACCTCAGCCCGGTGCTGGCGAGGCCTGGCAACTCTGGTGGACACAGTGAAGATGGATGATGGCCACCTAACCATCTTCCTTGGAGGACCTTCTCTACTGTTGCCCGGCAGGGTCCTTAATTCCCTGGAGGATCCTCTTCACATGGCCCACTTTTGATATCCCAAGTTCCTGCAGGGGGGGGGGGAAGAGAAGAGCGCCACTCAGGGAAGCACCGAGCCGCCTCCCCATTCAGTGGGCCCTTCCCCTCCCAGCTCTTCAATGATCCTTTTGCACCACTAGATGCTCCACGCAAGGCAGGGGGTCAACTGCAGAGCCCCACCTGGTTGGTTCTGTAGCCATCCTTATGCCAAGCTCCCACAGGGCCCCTCCCATTAAAGGAATGGCTGGGGTATAAGAAGCCTGTCCCTTCTCCCACCCAGAGGGCTGATCTGCAGCCCCTCCTTGTGCCTTTGTGGAGGGGCAGGCAGCAAGAGGCAGAGCAGGTGGGGGCAGCATGGCCCTGCGACAGGCAAGCAGGAGCAGTGGCACTCCCTCTCCTCCCCCCCTCCCCGCAGGCAAGACTGCATGGTGTACCTTCAGGTCTCTCCTCTCCAACAGGATCAGCTCAGAGCCCTGGATGTCATGGCGCATAAAAAGCTCTTTGTATTCCCCTAAATCAAGCACTTCCAGCCAGGCGGCCACCTCCGCTGGACCCCAACTGTCCACTGGCAAAAAGGAAAATTACAGGATGGTCGGTTGAGAAGGAAGGAAGGAAGGAAGGAAGGAAGGAAGGAAGGAAGGAAGGAAGGAAGGAAGGAAGGAAGGAAGGAAGGAAGGAAGGAAGGAAGGAAGGAAGGGGGTGAAGGCAGAGGCAGGCACATAGCAGCATAGTCAGAAGCAAGCTCAGGCAGGGGAACGCAAGAGAAGAACAGCAGGAAGCTGGGGAGGGGGAAGCAGACTTGAGTGTGAGAAAAGGACAGCCAGGTGAGGCTCTGTTCACCCAACATGCTGAATCCACTTGCCATTAGCCAGCCTCCCTTGAACCCGTGTGCAGTACAGGCTCAGCCCCCCCCCCCAGGATTCGTCGATAGGTCTGGTAATTGGGCAAATGTAGGAAATATGGTTCACAGCCTCCTGTATGAATGTGCCCTGGCAGAGGGATCAAAGGGGCTGCTCCCCCATGGGGCAGTGGGCTTCTTTGGGGAAGCGTCACCCCTTCCCCAAATCAGACAGATGCTCCCCAAATCTAGTCTCAGGTTCTTCCTCTGCACGGGGAGGCAGTTCTTGTAGCCTGATGTGGCACCTACCCTGGGCAGGGACTCCAGCACTTCTGGCCTTGGGCATCTGTGCCCCTCTAGATGGGCTCTACCTTGCTCTGGGGAAGCAGTAACCAGGCCACCAACTGCTTCTCACCCCACCCCCATTCCAGTTATGGGGATGCTGCACCATCATGTGGAGTGAGCTATCTGGCCCCTCCCAGTGCTCCTTTATCCAGATGCTGAGGTATCACATCCCACCCTTCTGGGTTCTGGGAAGGTCGCCAGATTACCTGGGATGGCCCCGCCAGATCTCTGCTTCTGGAGCTTCTCCTTCTCCTTCTTGGGCTTTGCAAGATTGATCCGTAGCTTCAGGCTGCCCTTGTTGCTGCTCCCAGGAGCATCCTGGCCCACTACCTGCGAGGAGGAGAAACTGCTGCTAGCAAAGCTGGGTCCCTCCATTTTCTACCTCCCTTCCCAGGTCTTTGCCAGGGCATGGCAGCCGACAGAAGGGAGGCAGTGGCAATGGCCAATATGATTCGGCTGCCTTCCCTGCTGGCTGGCTTGGACACCCAGCACCTCTGTCACCCAGCCTTCCTACTCTGGAGCCTCCCACAGGCCGGCCAAAAGCTGGCCTGCCTGGGGATTCCAGAGGCCTCCTTCCAAGGCAGCCATCGTTTCTGCCTGGAAAAGCAGCCGCAGGCTTTCTGGGAAGCCACCCCCACCTGCACATGTGCCCACCTCCTCAACTGAGCTCAAGACGGGGGCCATCCAGTGGAGGTCAGAGAACCTCTGGAACTCCTGATGGACGGTGCCCAGGGCCTGGTGGAGGACATCCTCTTGCTGGGGCGAATCCAGCTGCTGTGAGAAAGGCTACTGAGAAGGGCTGCCTTTGCCCCAAGAGAGGGCAAGGGATGTGTGGGGCACACGGGCATGTCCAGTGGCCTCTGCTCTGCACTCACCTCTTTTCCTTCCAAGAAGGCCTGGGTTTCAGCATACAACGCCTTCACACTGACAGACACCTCCATAGCTGTGCTCCGGCTAACCAGCTGCAGCCCCCAGCAGGAAAGAAAGGAGTCAGCAGGGGCTGACAGGGAAAGGCATGCCACCAGCAGCCAGGGCTGAAGGGAGAGACACCCAGGGAGCATTCCCAGCCCTGCAAGTGGGTCCTTCCCACTTGGGGCAGCTCCCGACACTCACCTCTGGAGCCCCACTGCTGCTCTTGCAGGCCAAGACCTCGCTCAGGGCCAATGAGCTGCTATTCACGGCATGTGCCAACTCCTGCTCCATGCCTTTACGGGATTTGGCGGCCTCTCGGATTCTGCAAGGGAGAGAGGGAAATGGCCTCTCAGCCATAGAGGTGGCAAAGCCAATGGCAAGGTGACATCACCCCCCCATACTTTGTAAACTTGTGCAGCTGGATTGTCTCTACTGATTGCAAGAGAAAGCAAATTCTGGAAGTTGGAAGTCCACACATCATGCATTTATCAAGAATGAAAACACGAGTGTAGAGCAAAGTGGCTTAATGTGAACGTCCTTCTGCCAGGAGCTATGCAGGACTCCCTCCTCCTGCTCCCCCAATTCTTCTAAGACCTCATGAAGGAGGCTAGACTGAAAGAGCACTGGGCCCACAGAGGCTCCCCAAGGCTGCCCGGTCACCCATGGTAGGGAACAGAGACAGCATCAGTCATGAAGGCATCTCCCACAAGCACAGGCCACACGTTGGTGCCCTGCTGGGAAGCAGCTTCCCGTGACCAGCAAAGGCTTCCAGGGCAGACTTTGCAGAGATGTCACCTTCAGGGTCTGGAGTGTTTGGCACCTGCTAATGAGTGTTTCGGTGGCTTGGACCAGCTGCTGCATCTGGGCTGCCTCCTCCTCCATCAGGTACTCCATTGACTGCTGGGAGCTGAGCCGTGGCCGGGATGGGGCTCGGTAGACCTCCCCCTTTTGCTTGTCTTCCCACGATTTCAGGGTGCTCTCAAAGGCCTGCAGGGACACAAGTTGGCCATGGCTGACAAGAGCAAGGCTGGGGCCTTGAGTGCGCAAGCCTGTCTCACACTGGCCAGGATGCTGGCAGTTCTAGACTTGGCCAATGAGCTAAGATGCTCAGAGGCCACAGGACTTGCTCTCCCTTTTAGCCAACACCTCAAAATTTTAGCTGCTGCCAGATTCCCATGGGCCCACCCCCCAACTTGCAATGGGTTACTCACCCTGTCTCTTGTTAGCATCTGGGCACGGTTCTTGTGCTGGATCTTGATTACGCCAGGAGGCTGAATCCAGGCCTCTCCGTCCACTTGCACTGGGACCCCTTCATCTCCCCGAATTGTGATCTTCACCATCCGGCACTGGGGAGGAAAGGAGGCAACGGGAGACACTTGACCTCCTCGTGGAAGAACTGGGGCAGCTCGGGCAATGGGCCCTGCACAGGCCCTGCCTTACCTGGGCAATGCGGTGGTGCTGCAGATTGATGACCCGAGAGACCGCCATCTGGATGCTCCCAAAAACAGCCACCACTTCAAGCTTCTTGTCGTCGAAGGAGGGAGCTCCAAAATTCTGGCAGGGAGAAGGCAAAGCTTCATTGAGCCAAACCCTGGGATGCTCCTCTCAGTGCGGTTAAAATGCAGACTACCTGAGTCTATGCAGTTCTCAGCCAAGCGAGTCAAGAAGTTTGTTGTGCTTCTTAACAATTGTGGCAGTGAAGCCAGTCTCCCCTGGCCCTCCACAAACACCAGGAAAAGCATCAGGAACCCATTCATGGCATCTGTGACCAAGAGGCAGGTGCTCAGTGCCAGAAACTCACACTGTCTTCCTTGGTGCCGCCCCAGAAGTTGATGCCTCCTGCGTAGCTGGGAATGTTAAGCACGGCAATGCCCTGCAGGCTGGGCAAGGAAATGGGAACCCCGTCGCACTGGAAGAGAGTGGAGAGAAGCGCTGAGCATCTGTTTCTGAGGGCACACGGAGGCCTGAGTGCCTGGAGAGAGCTCCAAGCAGCCCCCTTCTCTTGGCAGGAGGCGCCTATCAGCAGGTGCAGACTCTGGTGCTTGGACAACCATCCTCCTTCAGGCAGGAAGGACAGCCACCTTTGCAGTACCTCAAGTTGGACCCGTTGCTCCAGGTTCTTGTAGGTCCGCTGCAGCAGCTCCTTCGTTCCCAGGACCCCGTACCACATCATATTTTTGGTGCGGCTGCTGCAAAGGCAACCAAACAGTGGGTGTCTTTCTGTTTTCTTCCAGCATGACAGGGCAGCCTGCCCACTGCCATGATTCCCAGACTCTTAAAGCTTCTTGCAGCGTGGGTGCCCTGCCCAAAAGAGTGTCCCCCTGCTTGGCTTTCCTCAGGCCTGCTAGGTTTAATCTGCTCCTAGTCAACTCCTCCTCCTCCTCCTCCCCGCCCCCACCCCAGCCAGAGAATTAAATGGGTTTTTCCCTCCAGAGTCAAGCAGTTAGCCAGTCAGCTATCAAAAGCAGTTACAGTCTCTCTGTACACACGTGCACATGGACCGGGCAGGAGAAAGAGTTTTGAAGCTGGACAAGGAGGGTTCCATTTCGGGAGCCTCTGGACTTCTGCCTTCGGCAGCATTCAAACTTACCTGCACTTCTTTGGGTGCTCATCCCTCTTGTTGTTGAATTCCAGCGAGATCTTTGCATCCAGGCCAATGCCAAAATAGTTATTCATGACGCACTTTTCAGAAAATTGTCTGGAACCAGCAGATGGAGGGAAAAGAAATAGTTCAGCAACAAGCACTGAAGCAGAACCAGGAATACAGCATCAGAATACGAATAGTGGGTCTGTTTTCTCGGTTTCTGAACACAGCAGGGAGATGGGCAAGAGCATTTGGACAGCAGTGCAAGAGGCACTGAAATGCAGGATTGAGAGGGGGGGCTAGATGACTGTAAGATCAGACCCCTGATTGATGCGACTGTGCCGTCTTCCAGTCTCCCAAAGCAGGCTAAAATTAAATGAAGCCCTGGCTGATTTCCAGAGACCTGTTTATCTGTCTCCTTGAAGGATGTGAATAGACTGAGGTGGGCCAAGCTTTTCAAGGTCACTGGAAGTGGAGGAGAGTGTCCAAGCCTTTTCTGGTGGGAGGGAATTTGCTGAAGCAGGTCTGGCCAGCAAGGAGATGGACAGCCTTCTTCTTGAGGCTGTTCTGCCTCCTGTGTGAACCAGATGAAACCAGGGAGTTTCCAATGCAAATATCCCCAGCACATGGCAAAAGTGAACGTACCAACGGTGAGAACATGCAAAGCCCACTCTGGCAGTGCCTTGTTGAGGCCAATCTGGAAAAAAAGTGTGAGCTTTGGGAAATTCAGCCTTCTTCTGGATGCACAACAGGATACCCCCTTGGGTGCCTGAAGCAGGGGATAAAGCCAGGATCCTCCGGCTGTGCCGCTCTTCTCTACCAGAGCTTATTCAGGCCCATGGGACTGTTTTATTCTGCTGCTCTATAACATGGACATGGGGCATCAGTTTAAAAAGTGTTTGCTGGACTGACTATTTGCCAGGCCCATTTGGCATTTTTAAATGCCACGTGAAGGGAAGAGCAGAGAAACCTTTTCTCTCAATAGCCAGCAATTCTTGCAACACCAAATGGCTCTCTTGCTGCATGCAGGCTGGAGAAGTCTCTGACGCGGCCCTTGCTCCACTCATCCAGAGGCCACTCACACAGCATCGGGCTCCTCGGAGAAAGGGGTAGGGGTGAAACGCTCAGGTTGATCCAGGAAGAGGGAGGAAGTGGTAGAGATGACCGTATCGCGGCGGGACTCTGGAAGAGACCCAGCCAGAGAGTCTGAGCAGCTCAGGAGAGGTGGCTGGCCTCAGCTTAGCTCCCTGCCACTCCAAACCCACTCAGGATGGAGCATCTGAGCATTGCCTAACCTCAGCAGAGGCAATGGACACCCTCCCTCCCTCCAGGGTCTGGCTCCCTCGCAGCCTCAGTCAGCCATCCCAGAGACTTACTCGGTGGTTCCATCTCCTTATTGAAGTCCTCACCACTGTCCTTCTTACTGGCCCCTGAGAGGCTCCGGTAGGTCTGGGTCTGCTTGTTCTGCTCGTCCACCGCTGGCAGGAGGAAATACAAGCACAAGTCCAGCTTACTCTAAAGAGGGACTTGCTCTGCCCTGCAGTGCCCTGGTCTCCACAATCAACACATCAAAGGGGATTTTAAAAGGACTATTTGCTCCACAAGTAGCAAAACTATCTATAATGAAAGGACGGATAAAGTACTACAGTAGCAGCGGCAGCAGCTGGCACTGGAAGCAGCAGTCCCTCCGCCACAGCCAGCCACAGGGGCCTTGGGACCCAGCAGATGATGCCACCGAGGTTCTGTTGGGGAGGCCATTCTTGATATCCTGCTTGCCTACCCTTCACATCCAGCAGAATCATAGCCCTCTGGCACATCTGGGCTGTTGGCTCACCAGAGCCAGTCTTGGTACTAGTCCAGCCTTGCATCTCCATCTGTTTCCTTGCTGCCATAGAGGCAGGGCTGCAGCTCACCTTTCTCCGCCTGGTCGATGATCTGGCGCAGCGCCTTCTTGAGGCTGTTGGCCCTTAGCATGAGCTGCTCCTTGGACTTGAAGATGCGAGGAGGCCGAGGGCTGGGCTGGACAATGCTCTGCTCCTTGGCCTCAGGGGCTGCAGAGCTGCCTTCCGGTACCATGATGGCCTGTGACTCCTCGTTCAGTTCACGGACCAGCGAGTCCAGTTTCTCACTCAGCGTGGCACACTGGAAGTGGGCAGGGGGGGTCAGCTGTGCAGGCTGTGCCTGCAGCTTCAATACCCCCTGGCCTGGCCCAAGTGGGGAAGGTCGGGGTATCGCCCCCCACAAGCACAAAAGAAGGGTGCCCAGCAGACCTCTGGCTCTCTTCCCAGCATGTTTTCATCAACGCTCTTGTAATCCTCCCCCTTAGCTCACCAACACTGCTCTAGACGCCCTGAGCAGCCACTTGCCTTGCCAGCCATGATGGCCGCTTCCTGCTTGTTGTCAGCTGCCTGACCGTAAGCTTTTCCCACATCAGCTACAAAGTCATTCACAGTCCCGCACAGGAATCTGGGAGAAAGAGAAATCAAGGTTGCAACTCTCAAGCAACTCAGCCGGGCCCTTGAGCAAGCAGCCAAGGGGAGCTTCTGCTATGTGGAGGGCACCCTGCAGGGGGGACGCAGAACATTTAAAAAACTTTCTCTGTTATACTTTAAAATTCTTAGTTGCAAAGTTAAACCAATGAGAGCTGCAGGATATATGGAGATAAAATCTACATATAACGTGGGACGTACTCTCAGTTGGTAGACAGAAAGTGCGTATTAATGTACATTCACAGAAGCTCAGAGGTGTGGGAAAAACAGCAGAATTCTATTTAAATGTAGGGAAGAAAAGCAAATGGCTTCATTCTGCAATTCTCACCCCAGAGGAAAGTTCTTGACCAGCTCAAGACAACAAGGCCAAATCTGCAATGAGGTTTGGGAGGGGAGGCAGGAATTGTGCAAAGGTTCTTACAACTTGCAAACTATTGTGGAGATGCTCACAACTTGTATTTGCCCCACCCCAGATGGAAGAACGTCTCCCTTACTTTGCCGAGGAGATCACCACTGAGTGTTTGTCGGACTCCAAGATCTTCGCCAGGTGGAGGGCCACCGAGTCAGCGTAGTGAGAAATCTGAGCCTAAGGGAAGAGAGCCCACACCACTGTCCCGTAGGCCACTCCCTCAGAAGGGCCCAGCAAGGACAAGGCACCCCCTCCAAGGAGGCCTCCTGCCAACCTGGATGGTGGGATTCTCGCTCTCGTCTTCCTCGAGGACTGGGGGTGACTGCTTAGGGGCCTCGTAGGTTAGGACGCTCCACCTGCAAGGGAAGTGAAGGGGGTCTGCAGTGCTTCTCCCCCAAGCACGTGGACATGGCAGGGTCCTCAGGGCTGAAATGGCAGAGCCTGTCCTACCCCCAAGACAGGAGCCAAATGTCCTCCTTGGCCTCTCCCTGCATCATTCAGCCCTGCGCCCTCTTTTGGGGGGAGAGTTGTGACTGAACCCCTCCTTACCGGTCCAACATTTTTGTGGTGGCGCGCTCCAACTTTTCCAGAACCTGCAGCAACTGTGTATCATCATCGCAGAGGCTTCCCCAGCCCAGCACCCGGGCCAAGTCATTCCCGGTGCCCAGGGGCAGGACACCAAGCTGGCACTGCAGAAACACAGGGGTGATGGGTGGGGTTGGCATGGCTGAAATGGCATGCAGCTTCATCCCAGGCCTTGGGGAAACTGGGCACTCTCAATTCTTCTTGAACTCCCCAAGGCCTGCTGCTCCCCAGTTCTCCAGACATGCATCTCCACAAGGCAAAGGCAAAGGGGCTGGGGGCACCCTAAAGCCAATGCATCTTCTGCAGCAAACATTTTATGGATGCCAAAAAGGCAGGCTGGGGGTGGGCATCATTTTTCCCTCCTGGTTCGCTTGTGTCTCCTCCTCACAAGTATCAACAATTACACAAATTGTATGCAAAGCTGTCTTGAGCTCAAACCCTCCAAGACTACTAAAATTTCTATTTGCCACCTGTTTCTGCACACACAAACCTCAGTCACAAGTTTTCTCCTCCTGATTTGCATTCGGGCAAGGGTGCCCATTTGTGTGTGTGCACATGCACACAGCCACTCCAGATACAGAGAAAAAACCCAAGAAGCCAAGTTTGCTGCCTAACTCTTGATCTGGCTGGGCTTTGAGGTGCCGGCCTTCACCTGCTTGTGCAGTCCCAATGAGTCAATTTCCGACAGGACCCAGCCAACACTGCCGTCTCCACCACACACCAAGATCCGAAAAGTGGAGAACTTCTGAAAGAGCCGCAGCCTGGCAAGAAGAAGAAGAAGAAGAAGAAGAAGAGGAGGAGGAGGAGGAGGAGGAGGAGGAGGAGGAGGAGGAGGAGGAGGAGGAGGAAGAAACAGAAGTTGGCAGCGGGCAGTGAAGTACCAACTATTGTTCCAGCAGACGGGCAAAATGGGGCCTGCTGCAAGGAAAGGACGTATGTTCCCCCCCCCTCCCCGAGTCAAAATTGCTCAGAACTTGGTTGGAGAACCATAACTCTTAGGCTCCCTCTGCCACCACCTGAGCAAGGATAGTGGGTGGCTGAGGAATTGGGACCCTTACCCGAGGTGTGGCCCACCGTTCATGAGATCAAACACTTGGGCTGGATTGAGGAACTGCTTGAACTTGCGCAGAAATTTCACCCCCTGGTTATCTCCACTCTTGGAGTTGACAAAAGCCAGAAGGGGGCTGGAGCAGCTGGAGGGGCAGGTGGCCTTCCAGAATCCTGGCACAGGGGAAGAAAAAGCTGTGCTTGCTGCAGCCTGGAACCCTGCTGCCCCCTCCCCCACCTCTCTTGGCATTGCCAACTGTCCTAGCCAACCAGGACAGGCACAATTATTGCTCGCATAGATTGGGGATGCGTGAGAGCATCACCTGAGATTTAGGAAGGGACCCCAAACTGGGAAAAAAGCCCCCAATAGCTGGGCTACTCTTCTGAGTAACAGAAGCCTCTGCTTTAGCAGAGGGCCAGAGAATCACAAGGAAGGAAGGATGGCAAACTTTTGACAAGCCAGAAAGCAACAACAATCTACAATCTTTTACAAATTAGGGCATCCCCAGCAGAGGGTACTCTAAGACCCTCTGTAGATGAAATGGGCACACTGCTCTGATGCCATCCCTCCCCAGGGAAGGGACCAGCGCCTACAGCTCCCCTCAAGACCCAAAGGCCCATGCGCATGACACGCTGCTGGGCCTCGGGTGGCTCTCTGAGACCCGATTCCATTCTGAGGGGGCCAGGACTGCGACTGCCAGGATTCCCAACTGGATGAGGGGACCCCAGGCTGCTCCTAGCCGCCCCTCTTACCATCGGAGTCAATACTGTTGAGGGCAGTGGGGGGGATGATGGAGACCTTGTACTGGCCCAGGGGGCACTTCTTGCCCAGCTGGTCTCTGCAAGTGCTGTGAACCTAGAGGGGGGCAGAGGAACCCCTGAGCAAATTTCCCCCAGAAAAAGATGGGGAGCTGTGGACTTGGCCTTCAGGCCATGCAGGCTCCTGGCCCCCAAGTGCTGAACAGAAGAGCACAAGGGTTCCTGCAGGCCTCTCCCAGGGACCCCAGTGAGATGAAGGGAGGTAAGGCTGCTTCCCGTTCTGCAGAGCGAAGACTTCCAGGCAACCCTGCAATAGCCGTCCTGCTCTCGTTTTCCAGCCCTGCTGATCAGTCAAAATGGACTGCCCCCCCCGGAAGCCCAAACAACCCCCATTTCTCTCCTTAGCAAAGAACTCAGTGTCCTTCTGCCCCCCCCTCTCTTGTAAGTGGAATCCCATTCTTATATCTGGGGGGAATCAGGTTCTGTCGCCCCCTTCTGCTCTTCCTCTTGCCCAGCACCTATGGGAGGCAGAGGTTGGGTCAGAAAAAGCCAGGAGTTTAGGGAAGGGGGGGGGCGGTGCTTACAACAGCCTTGCACCAGAGACAGCGCCAGTCCTGCAGCCTCCGGACACTGCCAGACGTCTTGTCGCACACAGCACAGCGGGCACCCACCGGAAGGTTCCCCTCCAGCCACTGGTGGGGCATGGCCACCTGCAACAAGAAGGGGCAGGCTTCTGTCTCCACATCCCGCTCTCTCCCTTGTGGGAGGTAAGTGGGGGGGCTGGCTGGCAAATCTGCTGCCCAAGAAAGCTCCGGACTGACCCCGTCTTCGTCCTCAATGATGTCATTGCCAATGGAGGCCAGTGTGGTCCACTTGCAGCTGTTGGTAGCTCTCACTGCGCAGCGTTTGTGGGCCTTGAACTTGCACACTGCGAGAGAAGACAAGAGTCGCCCTGAGGGAAGAGGAGCTGCTACTGGAGAAGGAAAAGCAGGGCCGCCCCTGCCCTTCTGGCCGGCCTCCTCATGACTGTCCCCCTCTGCCAGGGAGAAGGACCTACCTTCACAGGAGAGGCCGTGAGATGTGACGCCTGGCAGGGCCTCCCGGCAGACGTTGCAAAAGGTGGGTCGGGCGTGAGAGCAGGCGTACCAGTTGTGCATGCCGGAGAAGTGCTCCATGTTGAATTGGGATGCCTGGAGCAGAGCACAGCAATTGGTGGCAGCAGCCACAGAAAGTACATCCCCACTCTCTGCCTGGGCTACTTCCAGAACCCTGATCTGCCCCAGACTTATTGGGAGGTTAAATCCGAGATATCCCACACAGGACCTCCCAGCAGAGTCCCCCTCACACAACCACCTCATTGATTTCCCATTTCTGGACAGACTTCAGGGCCCCGATCCAGTCCTCCATTTCCTTCCGGTTCTCTGCACAAAGAATGAGTTTTCGGAATGGGGTGATCACCTACGGGAAGGGAGGCAGAACAGTCCTACAGTTGACATTCATCAGAAGCCGTCTCAGCTGGGGCTGCTTGGCCTGGGCAGCCAGCCCAGCTCTGCTTGTTCTCCTGTTTCCAGGCAGAGAGAACGTTGTTCTCACTGCCTGTTTCTGTGTCACTTGTAACACAGAATGCCTGCTGACGCTTTCAACATGGGTTCTATCTTTGATTCTTTCCAACAGCCACCTACCTACTCAGCCTTCAAGAAGATAGATGCGGGAATATAGGACAAAGCGAGCTAGTATGATCTGTAGGGCCTGAAACAGGGAAAGTGCTCTAGGGATCCCAGCCGAGTCAGAGGATGATGGGTTGGGGAAGGAGGGAGAAGAGACTTGTGGGTGTGCCAAATGGAAGCCCAGTGTCAGGTTTCTAACCCCATCTAATCTACTGGGAAGGCTGCCAGCTGGTGTGGTAGACTTACCGTAAAGCTATTGTTGATGTTCTTGGTGCTGGTTTCTGCCACGCTGGCATCTGACAGGTCCACTTCATCAAAGATCAGTGACTAGAAGAGCAAGGAGGAAAAGGAGCCTGAACTCCAGACAATCCCTCACCCTGCTCAAGCAGCTTCCCAGAATCAGATCAAGAAAATGGGTAGAGCTCCCTTATAGCCCTTTGGTAATTGCAGGATTTTCAAGAGAGTCCTGTGGCTGTTTAGAGCAGATTTCAAGTCTGTTTCCTAAAGAGATCTGTGCTACCCATTCCACATGGCCATTTCCGTGCTCCCCCCCAGCCTTGTTCTTGTTGCACAGATCTGGGTCTCTCTGCACAGGGCAAGGCAGGGAGCACGTTGGCTCTTGGGGAGAGGCCAAAATATGGGCTCTCTGAAATGCCTAGGGCTCCTGGGCGGAAGCTGGCAGTCCTTCCATACTTTGCCATCCTCACCTTGGAATCTTTGGCATAGTAGAGGGTCCGGCCACGCAGCTTGAAGAACCTTCTCTTCCACCTCTGGAAAGAGCTTGTCTGCTTCAGCAGGAGCCCCTCCTTCACACTCTTCTGCAAAGAGATTGAAAATATGGCTCCTTTGCATCAGAGCCTCTCTGGGAGACTTAGACATGGCTCCTCCTGCCAGGATTGCAGCAGCCATGATGAGTGAGTGAGTGAGCGAGTGAGTGCCATCCTGGGTCCCCACAGCTTCCCACAGTGGCACCCACGGCATCTGGGCTTCTTCAGATCAGGCACCCTGAACCACTCCTATTACCTGTTGCCTTTGTAATGTCTATATGGGCAGGGCAGGGCAGAGGTTGGGAGGCTGTCCTCCTGCCAAGTGCAGCCTAAGGAGGAAGGCTGGGCACTTCTCCTTTGTAGCCTCTGGCCTCACCTTGCCCCTGCCCCAAGGCAACCCCCCCTCTTGCCCTCTGGCAAGGCCAGGTCTCCCCTGCAGCCCTTGCTGGCTGGACTCCTTCCTACTGCTGCAAAGGAGGGCAGGGCACCTCGGGATCAGCCGCTCCAAGGCAAGGAGGACAAAGGTAAGTTTTTATTGGAGAGCTCAATGCCGAGGGATCAAAAAGCTCCACCACAGGAACCGGAAAAACCTGATCCTCCCTTGGGGAAGGAAGCTGAGCACCTTCTGCCCCGGGAGAGCCCAGGCGGGCTACTGAGCACTTTTGACCCATGATGCAAAAGCCTCAACCCGGAGAGGGCTGTACCATGCTCTTCTGGCCTTGGCAAGTACAGCTTCAACTTCAGTCATCTGCCTTTGGGCCACTCTGGCTGAGAGACCCAATCCAGGGCGGCCAGAGAATGCCTGCTGAGGAAGGCTGAAACACTCATTCTGTTACTTGGTAGCTCAAGAGCATTCTTGTGTTTCCTCTGTCCCCAAATGGCTCAGCACCACAGTGGGTAGGAGAACCCATCACGGAATTCTTTTTCTTCTTCCAACAAAAGCATCCCCCCGCCTCCGAGTTGTGTCCTCTCTTGCCCAACAGTTCCCCTGGGGTTCCCAGGAGAGCAGATCAATCTGTTCACATTCAACAGCATCTTTCAAGAATCTGCCCCCCCCCAAAACCAGGAACCAAAGCCTACGCTCAGCTGATTTGGTTCTGCTTGCAAAAGTGGCTCCCAGTTTGCCACACAAGAGCTTTTCCTGCCGGCTGGCATTATGACTGACAGATAAACAAGAGGCAGAACAAAACCTGATCTAAGCTGCTCCCCCCCCCCCCGTGAAGGTGGATGTTGATCAACTAACAGCCAGCCACAAATATACTTCTGACCGTGGTTTGTTCTGGAAAAAGCACAGCTGAACCGGGGTCTCTGGGGCCCAGGCACTGCCTGAGCTAACCTGATAGGACGAGGGGCTCCACTCAGCCAGCTGCTGCATTCAGGACTCCAGAGACCCTGTGGGGCCAACTGATCTCTGCACCTCACCTGGCAAGGCCTCTTCTGAACAAGGAGTTTTGAGCATTATTCTTCATCTCCTAAGGGCAAACTTGGGCTGTTCCTTCTTGCACCGGGGTGCACTTGTGAATGACCAGGCCAGAAAAAGGAGGATTAAGTCTAACAGGACCTTTGGGCAAAGAACCTGTTCTTTCCACAGCAAGTCCCGCTCGCTTGTTGGGGAGCCTGGATGGCCAGAAACGCAGACAGCATTGACTGTCTACAGGGGGCCTACCATGGCTGCCGCACAGAAGCCAGCCCCCCTGCCCCTCCAGGCCCCGCTGTGCACTCAGCCTTTCCAAGGAAGTTACTTTGTCATGTGCCAGAGTCTGGGCTGGGGGCCGCTGGCCAGCTGTAGCAGCACAAAGGGTGAGGAACCCCAGCTGGATTGGCAAGGATGGCCCAGCCCAACCCAGCAAGAGACCCAGCAACTGTGCACACCCAAGTCCCCCGTGGGCCCCCCTGCCTTCAACCTGGTGAAGGAAGGACATTGGGGAGTGCGCCTCTCCTTCACACACCAGACTGGACTCCAAGGAATTCCTATCTGCTTCCATCCTTCTGCTGGAAAGCAGAGAAGCCCCCCCCAGGCCAGCACTCTCTACTAAATGCCCTGGAGACACTGACCAGGCACAGGAGCCCACAGCCCATTCTTTTGGCAGCTGACAGCCCTGTGGCAGCTTGTCTGTCATCAGCAAGCAGACAGTGGTCGCACGAGGCTGCTATTGGCACCTGTACCAACTTCTAACCCGGGACCCTGGCCCTGGCAGCCCGTGGGCACGTCTGACAAAGAACAAGCCAAATAAATGCAGCAGCAGAACTGCTGGCCAGTGCAAGGGTTTTTTTTTGGCTCTTTTGCTTTGTTCCTGAAGCTTCTTCTTCAAAGCTCTGTGCAACAAAGGCAGAAAGGTTTCTCAACATCTTTGGAAGAGAGTTTGTACGATACTTTTAGAAACATTTCTATGCCCTCTTTCAAAATGGACACTCTGGAAGGGCATACAACATGCTAAATCATCAAACTTCAGAACAATCATACACACCACGAAACCTGATCGAGAGAATAAAACCAAGAAAGCAACAGCCAGGGAGCTTAACTCGTTTCTAAGCAGCATCCATACCTGAGTCACCAACAGGAGAATTGGGCAGCTACTGTGTATAAATTTGTTAAATAAATAAATATAAATATGTTTCAAATGAGTGCAAGAAGGCAAATGAATGACTGAAGAAGAGCTGGGGGGTGGAGCGGGAGGGCTCTTCATTCAGAGGGGGTTGCTAATTCAAAAAAAAAAGGGGTGGGGGGGGAGGAAAGGGGCTCTGACCATTTCTTGCCTTGATTTTTTCCACATTCATTTGGCAAAGGGCCTTTTTCCGCTGAGGGCAGGACAGGCTTGATGGCAACAGAGCAAGGACCCCCTGCTGAAAAGAGCTGCAGCTTGTCTTCATTGTGACTCAGGAAACAAGGGTGCAATTTCCAGTTCTGCTGAGCGATTGCCACTCCTTCCTGTCTTTCTCACACATGCTTTTTTTTTCACAGCTGGGCATTGCAAAATTCACAGAAACTGGAGGAAATTGAGGCTGCTGCTGTGGCAGCAGAGGGCTCAACTCCAGCCCCCCCCCCCGCCTGAATCTTGCCAGGGGAAGCGGCTGCTGCAGCCCCCTTCCCGGGGCCAGATAGGCAGGCTAGTGGCTGGAGGAAGAAGGCCCTTTATCTGCTGAGATGTGTGGCTCAGAGGCCCCCAGGCCTTGCCTCCTGCAGTAGCCTGGAGACCTGGGCCCCTGCATTGCCCAGGAGCAAAAGTGGGAGGAGTTTGCCCCCAGGGCCTGCAGTGTGCAAGGGAGGAAAGAGGCCGTTGTCTTGTGAAGACCGTGGATTGATTTTCAGCCAAGAAGGCGACTGCAATCTGACGTCAATATCCAGAAGAGGAGGAGAAGGCAGATTGTGTAGTAGGGGATATCCTGATGATCAGCACATTAACCACTCCTCTCCTCCCCCTCCCCAAATTTCTTTTAGCTCCGAGATGGCTGGTCAGATTAGCAGGGCAGAGAATGGAGCACAGACTCATGCCGGGAGAAGAGATGGGGCAGAAATGGGGGTGTTGTGCCACTGGGCCCCAGACAGACCGTGGCCAGTGCTCCAGACAGCAGCAGCCCACAGTCGGAGTTCTTGGTTATGAGTGGTGGCTGCGGCAGCGGGGCTGGGGGAAGGGGGCGACCTTACCACGGAGCAGGAACAGTTAAAAATAGCCTCTCTGGCTGGCCTAGTGGTGCCTCTGCAGGGCTGCCAGGGTCAGAGGTTGAGGGAAGTGTGGGGCCAGGGTGCCAGAGCTGGAAGCCCCTCCCTGGCTGCCCCCTCAGAAAGCGCTCATAAAATGGAGCCTTGACGCCTTCAGGGCCCTTCTCTGAGGGGGCTCTGATTATTTTGGAGCTCGCCGGAAAGGAACATTTGGGGATCCCTATTTAACCTATTGGGTTGTCCAGGATGATGATGTAAAGGGACAGGGGGTCCTGGTCTAATTTGAATTGGGGTGCTTCCATGGGGGGACAAAGAAAGGCTGTAACGGACTCCCTAGACACCCCCCCAGGAGACCCATGACCTGGGCAACCTTGGCAGCAGGCAACCCAAAAGCTAAGCCTACCTTGGGAGGGGGATGGATCCTCGCTTCCTTCTCCAAGGGGCAGCAATGAGGGGCCGAGGCCTGAAAGTGGGAGAGGCACAGGGAGGGATGCCCTTTTCAAGGATGGCCTGGCACAGAGAGGCGAGGTGCCAGTGGCCTGCCCTGATCCCGGCTCCCTTCAGCTGCATAACGAAGTGCTTCCCACAGGCAGAAGGGAACATGATAGCAGCCCATCAGGAGGCACCTCCAGACCTGCCAGTTGCAGCACAGCCAGGGAAGGACAAACCTAGAGAGGAGCCCCCCCCCAGGGCAGGAAGCCTTGGAGCCTGGCACCATGGCACACGTCCCATGTTGGCCACTCGGTGGAGACCCAGCCTGGGCAAGGCAATCCTTGGGCCTGCTCCCTGCCTGGGAAGAGCTCAGTCTCCCTACCCAGGAGCCAAGTGGCTGCTGCCCCAAAAGCGGTGCCCCTCCTTGCTAGAGCCATTTCTCCCCCCCCCCACTCCTCTGCCTCTTGGCTCCCCACCAGGGCATTGCGACTTGGGTCACCATTTTCCTTTGCCCATCCGAGTGAGGGACACGCAGTCTGCTGGGCCCCAATGAGAAAGGCAGGCCGAGCCGGCTGCGTTTGCTATGCACAGCCCCCTCTGTTCCCTGGTGGCAGCTAATAGGGAGAGAGACTCCTTCCTCCTCCTTCCCTGTAGGAAAAATGACTGCTGCTGCCGCCTCCTCCTTCCAGACGTTGTTAGGGGCCCAGTTGCTCACCCATCAAAGAAAGATGATTTCCTACTGGGCAATGGATGCAAATCCCCCTCCCCCCTGTGCCAGGGATTCTCTTTGTACCTCTTTATGGGGTTTCTGGCCATTGCAGCTTGTTCTGGAAAGGAAAACAATTTCCTGCTTTGGGGCAGCAGGGACCAGAAAGAAAAAGACGGGATGATGGAGGCAGCTCAGCTTAAAGGGGTCTCTGCCTGGGGCAGTGGAGAAAGGCTGAACTTCTGCCCAAGG